AATTTATCATGGCGTCCATGGCGTAGTGCACGTTGTCATCGGTAGAAGTTAATGTTAAAAATATTTTCACGAGGACCTGCATAGTGAAAGAATGCGGCAGTTATATGAAAAAAACAAAAAAAACTGAGGGAAGTAAAATTAAATATTTTACCTTTCCAAAACAATCTGAAATTGCTGAACAGTGGCGTAAGCCACTCGTTGTGACGTAAGCAAGGACAAAAATCTGATTGGTCATGCGCATGAGCATACCTTTGTCTTTTTATCATGGGGACAAGCAAATCTGCACAGTTGAATTGAAAACGGGGTCTTGTCCCTACTCTTAATATCTTTTACTGTGGTTTTGTAACATTTTGTTGAACATTGCTTCAAAATGAACAAAAATGAGTTTCAGCTTTTGCACTGAAAATCTTGGCATATTCTTTTGAACTTGCACTATTCAGTGCAACCCATGGAACTCGTTCAGTGTTGGTGTGAACTGAGTGCGCACTGGTGCGCACTAACTTTTGCCCAATCGAAAACGCTATGTGATTCGCCCATTTCTTATGGCTTAAAGCTTAAAACCCTATTGTAGATCCGGGGTTACGCATAACGCATAGTGCATAAGAGAATCAACCAATCGAAATTCTTCTTTTTCATGGAATGGGAGGAAAGGAAAGATTCTGATTAGTTGATGCACTATGCATTATGCTTTATGCAAAAGTCTGTATCGCGGCCTTTAGATTCGACACATGGTGTTTCGACGAAACAACAAAATAGCGTAAAAAGCATAAAGTGACTAGACAGAAACTGATGTTCAAGTGAAATGATAAGATTGGTCGACGCAAGTTACGCTTACGCAAGTTATGCCGCATGTGACGGCACCCTTAAGACATTGCTTTTTCGATTTGGCAAAAGTTAGTGCGCACCAGTGCGCACTCAGTTCACACCAACACTGGACGAGTTCCATGGGTTGCACTGAATAGTGCAAGTTCAAAAGAATACGCCAAGATTTTCAGTGCTAAAGCTGAAACTCATTTTTGTTCACTTTGAAGCAATGTTCAACAAAATGTTACAAAACCACAGTAAAAGATATTAAGAGTAGGGACAAGACCACGTTTTCAATTCAACTGCGCAAATTTGCTTGTCCCTATGTATATCCTTAACTGTGATAGAACGTGCACTGAACTGGCACCGTCAAAATAGGCCTGTTCTTTTTGGCTGAACTTTTGCACCAGTTCATCTTTCTTCCTCTTTTTTCCTCCTGGAGAGAAAAGGAAGAAAGATGAACTGGTGCAAAAGTTCAGTCAAAAAGAACAGGCCTCATATCTCGTGCCACTTAGTGCGCACTGAGTGCGCACTACGCGAGTGTTGTGCGATCAAATAAACACGTGACACTAGCCAAGTGCGCATTGGCACTGCCAATCGAACACGCTCTTGACACTGAGGGTGATGTCCCATGCAGCGGATCGTGCGTAAGCGGATTCGCGTATCGCCAATCACAGAATCATTCTCTTAGATATGCTTGCGAAATTTGCAAACAGATCTAAGAGAATAATTCTGTGATTGGCGATACGCGAATCCGCTTACGCAAGATCCGCTGCATGGGACATCACCCTGAGTGCAGCCAGTGCACCCCAATCGAAAACGCTAAAATAAGAATCAACTATGGCCCGTATTCATAGACCGGTATTCATAGTCGGTTCTTATTTTAAGACTGTCTTAAGTAATGTCTTAAGTCGCTAATGCGGCCTTCTGATTAGTTCACGACATCTTAAGACTGTACTTAAGATGGTATTAAGTACGGATCTACAATGGGTGTTTTAAGCCTTAAGCCGTAAGAAATTGACCAACTACAGTCGAATGCGAGGAGAATAAATGACTGTGATTGGTCAATTTCTTACTCTTACTTCTTACTCCGTGTATTGTAGACGACGCCTTATGGCTTAAAGCTTAAAAATCTATTGTAGATCCAGGGTAAATATAAGATCCGACTACGAATAAAGGCCATAGGCTGCTTTCCTTTTAAGAGACAAATCGACACAGTTATAACACACTCGAACACGGGTGGCACCCAGTTGGACACGGCTCAATTGGACACGAGCCACTCACAGCGCTTGAGATTACAAAGCTCCTAAGCACCAGTCGCTGTGATTGGTGGTGTCCAATCGACCCGTGGTCAATCGTGATCACCCCCTCGAAAAGTACGCCTCATGGGGAACCGGAACCTTTCCATCGCGTATATATGAGCGGATGATCGAATAAATTATTAAAATTAGAAAATTTTGTGAGACCACTCCTAGGCTTATTCGACGAATTTTTGCATGAAACGAAAGAATCTGGCAAAAAAAAACGTCGTTTTGCCTTGTGATCTGAGATATTGTGTTAAAGTTGATGACTATTTAGGTTAGGAAATCTGTCACAGAGGCAAAATGAAGTCTATAATTGTACTGTTCCACATGAGTTTCGACTTTTCATGCGAAGGGGCGCACGACTTCTATAATTGTACTGTTGCAAAATCGAAACCCTTGTGTATTTTTTCAGACAGAATAAGCTAAAATGAGCCAGAAATTAGATTTGACGTATGGTGGTTCTATCATGTTTCGGCATAACAACAAAATAGCGTAAAAAGCACAAAGTGACTAGACAGAAATTGATGTTAAAATGAAATGATATGATTGGTCGGCGGAAGTTACGCTTACGTAAGTTATGCCGCATGTGACCCTCAGATTTCCGTATGGAGTTGACCCACCGTGCAATGGAGTAAATAGTTTGACGGGAACTGGTCAGCTGGTCAACTGGGGGTCGATTCTGTATCTTGAAACAAGATGAAATTACAAAAGTGAGTAAATTTACTAGGCGTTGACTAATGAAATTATCAGTAGTCTAGTAAATTCACTTTTGTAATTTTCACCTCATTTCAAGATACAGAATCGACTCCCTGAAGCGGGGTCAATATGGCGGTGCTGAACATGTGCTAAAGGTAGTAGTGGGAGATGAATGTCGCTTCTCTCATATATAGGGCTCTAGTACACATCATGTTATCCTTCCACCATGGGCCGGAATCAAACTATGCATTGAAGATTGAGATTAAAGATTAAAGATTGAAATTTCACTAATGAGGACAAAGAAATTTTGGCTCCTTTTGTTCTAATTGGTCAAACATCAGTCTTTTAATCTTCAATCTTATTCTTCAATGCGTAGTCTGATTCCAGTCGGGGTGATCCCGATTGATTACAGCTCGATTGGACACCACCAATCACAGCGACCGATGCCTAGGAGCTTTGTAGTCCCAAGCACTGTGAGTGGCTTGTGTCCAATTGAGCCGTGTCCAACTGGATGCCACCCATTCCGGTCTAAGGTCGCCGTCCCATGAGCGGAAATTTACATCGAAACGGAACAGCGAGACCAATCACAATCGCAAGAAAGTAAGCTGAGTAATGACTGCAGAGTTGTGATTGGTCACGCTGTTCCGTTCCGCTGTAAATTTCCGCTCATGGGACGGCGGCCTAATACTAAATTCACACTGCATCCGATTTGCGTCGTACGACGCAAATCGGATGCAGTGTGAATCCAGCATAAGAGTCTGTGCTCCCGCTTTAGGGTATACCCACACAAATTTGCATAGCCGCATAATCATATGCAGGGGTGATCCCGATTGATCACGGCTCGATTGGACACCACTAATCACAGCGACCGGTGCTTAGGAGCTTTGTAGTCTCAAGCTCTGTGAGTGGCTCGTGTCCAATTGAGTCGTGTCCAACTGGGTGCCCCCCACATATGCATAAAGCAAATTATCCAATCACATTTTACGTGCGTTTTTATAGGAGAAATGCGATTGGATAATTTTCTTTATGCATACGTTTGTGCGGCTATGCAAGTTGTATGGATATACTCTTATGGCTACGTTCGGATTCCTACCCGGATGTCATATCATCCTTGTTGTTTACCCAACGTTAAACAGGGATGACATGACATCCGAGGAGCACCCGAGTAGGAATTCGAACGCAGCCTATAAGATACCTCCCCGGGGTGAAATTCGTCATCCGTCAAATGTGCATCGTTAAGACCGCAGCACAGACTCTTGCATAACGCATAATGCATAGTGCAGAAGGGAATCAACCAATCGAAATTCTTCTTTTCTATGGAATGAGGGGAAAAGAAAGATTCTGATTAGTTGATTCGCTTATGCACTATGTGTTATGCGTCATGCAAGAGCGTGTGCTGCGGCTATTACTAGTGATTCACTAGTAGGGATGGACGATGTACAAGAAAAGCATCGATTCTCTAATAATCGATTATGATCCAATCCGATTTTTAATTAACCGATTCATTGTAGAAGAAAACATCGATGTTGTAAAATTAATGATTTAAAAAAAAACTGATTACTAAAGTTTTTTCTTATTATAATTTTTAGAAATATATTGAATTATAATTTTTATAATGATTTTTATTACAAAATGAAAGAAAAACTAGAGTGTCTACAATTTTATGTACCTCCACAGAAAAAAAAATTTACTTGTTTTAAGTAAACACATTTTCTTGAACTGTAATTTATTGATTGAAAGAATTAATTACTTGCCACAATAAATTTGTTTTTTGTTCCAATAAAATATTATCCTGAA